CGGCAGTATTTTGTGGTTACAGGTTTTAGGTCGTTATGTCCTCTCTCAGGTTTCTCTCTGCCTGATCTGTCTTGATGAAATTTGCCTCGAGAACAAGTGCATCTAATAGCGTTTTCTCTTGGCTGCACCAGTGCAACACTCAGCTGAACTTTTGCACTAGTTCATCTTTCTTCTTTTTCTCTCCAGGAGAAGGGAAAAGGAAAAAGATGAACTGGTGCAATCACCCTACACTGGTGCAGCCAAGAGAAAACGCTATAAATTTCCTTTTACCATGCATTTCTCCGAGAAGATTTCTGTTTGCATATTCATTTTATTTTATTTTATCACATAATTTGTTGTAGCGTTGAAAATGAGTGTCAAGCGTCAGCATGAAAACATACCTTAAATTTCGCGTGGCATCATTCATTTTTTAACAAATTTCGGAACGCACCAAATGGCGCCAAAATTGTAGACACTTGTAGAGAACAGAGAATAGCGACTGTTACCAACGTCGATTAGTCCATTGGAATTGACCAATCGCATTTATCATTTTGTTTTTACGACAGACGCGATTGGTCAATTCCAATGGACTAATCGTCGATTTAATCGGTGTTGGTAACAGTCGCCCTAAGAATTTCAACCTATCAGAAATCATATACTGTGGAATAAGATATGATCAGATGGTATATATAACATATAACTATGAGTCTGACAGATTCTCAATTTCGTAGAGAATGTTGTGCTTTTGGAATAGATTCGAAGATACTTGAATATTTTATTTAAAAAAGGAGAGGTCATTCAGATAAGAATTTATTACACTTCACAGTGTCGATTAGTTCACATTTTAAAGATTTTCACGGCATATCAAAAGAGTAAGTACATCAACTTCAGACAATACATCTATTTTTCCAACAATTCAAATCTTTAATAGAATCTGTCACCAGCGATTTTGACAAAATTCTACAAGAGAAAATACTATAACGTCTTACTCTAACTTATACTATCTTTCTCTCTCTCTTTCTAATCCATTTTTATGAATATAGATTAACTTTAACCTCAATTTACTTGCTTTTTATCTTCTAGTTTTAAAAATTAAAATAAGAATAAATTATCCTAAGGTATTTTAAAATTAATCTGTATTGACAAAAATGGAGTAAAAATGTGAGATAGCATAAATTAGAATGATAAATTACAATATATATACACAAAAAGATAGAAATAAGTATCTACAATCTAATTAAAATTATAGAATAAAATAGTATAAGATACATTGAGGTTTTATATATATACACACAGAGAGAAAAAGTACATATGTTTTTCTTGTAAAATTTTAACAAAGTCACTCATATCTAGATTCTATAGAGTTTCTATTCATCATGTGAACTTTCTGTTTTAACTTTTGCCAAATATGTCAAATATTAGATATATATATTTTTTTTATTTTAAATTTTAATTTCCAAAATAAACATTAGTTATAGGAAACATGCTTAATATCTTAAATCTTTATCAAATTTTTTCAATGAAATTAATGTCTTCTACTTTGTAGGATTTCAAAGAAGACAAAACATTTTGTAGGCCTAAGAAATTTTATCAGAATGAACATCGACAAACTCATTAAGAGGAAGCAACATGCCAAACGTGACAATAATCTTCGTCAGTTGGCCGAAATCGCGAATACTCTGGGAGACGTATACTTTGAGAACAATCGGCTGAAGGAGGCTCTGCAGGAATATTCTGAACAGCTGATTGCTTGTGAGAAACTGGAAGATAAACTAAGCTGTGCGATAGCACACAGAATGATTGGAGAGGTTTACGCAAGTTTGGAAGATTACAAACAGGCCCTGGAACACCAAAATTTACATCTGGAAGGCGCCAAAGACATGAACAACTCAATAGAGGAGCAACGAGCATTTGCTACTTTAGGTAGAACTTATTTCTGTTTAGCTGAAAGTTTAATAAGCAATATAGAGAAACGAGATGAGGCTTTGGCAAACGCAAAGATGGCTTATGCGGAGAGTATGGAGTTGTGCGATAAATTAACAGCCACTGAGATCAAACTGGAAGAGAAGACGCTGATGAAGGCAAGATTGCTACTTAACTTAGGTTTAACGCTAGAAGCACAGAAAGAGACACAACAGGCGATTAGTTTAATCGAGCAAGCGACTGCATTATGTGTATCCAATAATTTTCAGGAAGACTTACATCGAACGTGTATCTCTCTAGCAACTATATACGAGCGGCAAAACAATTTTGAGCTAGCGTTAAATTATATTGAAACTGCAGCCACTGTAAATGATGTGCGCCTGAAAGCCGAAGCAAAAATAATAAAGGCTGAACTGTTTATGCGAACTGGACAGTGGATTAAAACGCGTAAAGTATTAGTGCCCCTATACGCGAGTAGTGGATTGCCAAAAGACATTAATAATCAGGTCGAGAAGTATTTAAGAATTATTGTAACGATTTGTCGAGCGGAAAACAGTCTCCTTGTCGAGACTGATACTCGAGCTAAGCAAAAACTTTATGATACTTTAGGTGATGCAGCAGTCGCCGCTCAATGCTTTGACAAAGGTGCAGAATATTATCGACAAATGTTGACTTGTGCAGAGGAAACTGGTGAACAAATAGGCGTTTCTTTAATGAGCTTAGCTCAAACGCTCAAAGATGCAAGATGTTACAAAGAAGCGTTGCCATTTGCACGAAGGGAATTGGATCTTTGCACCGATCCTCGAGAGAAATACAGGTCGGTGTTGTTTCTAGCGGATTTATTAATAACGACAAATGCCACTGATGTGGAAGTACGGGAGTGTTACATTTCAGCATTGAACGCAGCGAACGAAAGCGGTAACGTTAAGCTACAAAAGTCTGTTACAAGAGAACTCGTCAATTATCTGGAAAGCATAGGCCAGTTTACTGAGGCAGAGGATATAAAGCAGAAAGTAGGATTAACGTTTTTGGAAGTACAGAGCGATACAGAGAGTGAAGCGTCATCCGAGGAAAGCGACAGAATTGGTGCAGACATTTGTCTAGAGGATCTGTCTGATCTAGAACCCGAAGAAAGTGTCACGAAGCCTGTTGGTACCAAAAGAAGACTGAGGAGAGGAACGTCAACCGCGATCAAAAGGAATGAGAAGGGTGAAACGCCGCTACACGTAGCGTGTATCAATGGTGATATCGGTGCTGTTGAGAAGCTCTTATCGTCCGGTCATTCTACAAACGTCAGAGATCACTACGGATGGTCTCCACTTCACGAAGCTGCTAATCACGGTTACGTAGAAGTTGCAAAACTGCTTCTGAAGCATGGTGCCAATGTCAATGATCCGGGCGGTCCGTCTTGCAAAGGTGTGACGCCGCTTCACGACGCTGCCTCTTGCGGACATTCCTCTATGATGCACCTCTTGATACAACACGGAGCAACCGTGACACTCAAGACCCACGACGACGATACAGTGCTGGATTGCCTGGAAAAGTGGAGAAAACGTGTGAAAGATTTAAGTCCCGAGGATTTAATCGAATATGACACAATGCATAAAAAGCTTTCGGCTGTTATTCCAGTGAACACGAAAAGGAAGAGATCCAACGACGTTTGGCCATCGAACAAAAAGTCTGCGTCGCCCGAGACGTCTGAGGTTCGAAAAATATCCGTCGGTGAGGATTACAAGAGAACAATAGAGAGCTTGCGGACCTTCAATAAAACTAACACCGTTAGTGCACTTAAAGACAATAATGAGGCAGTTACTAAAGCGGTTGCGCCTTTAATTAATGAAGAACTAGTTCTTGTCGATGATTGGCTTGAAGACGATATCGGAACAACGAAGAAAAAATCTACAAACAATCATAAACTGTTGAACAATCACACTGCTACAGTCAAACGAAAGTCTTTCGATGGAAATCCGGAGAACGCTACTAAAAAGTTGAGACTGAATGATTCATGTCATAGTAAAGATGATTTCAGTACAAGCGAAGACAGTAATGATGATCTCTCTGGTGACATTGTTGAATTATTTGAAGAACCTAAAAGAAATAAGAGAAAACGACAGACATCCTTGGTCTCAAGTGGATTCACCGTGTCTCGTAGTCGTACACCATCCCCAGTGGCTCATTTGCAATCGTTTCCTACAATAAATTCAAAACAGCACGACAAAGAGTACTTACATTTATGTACGTTTGTTAAAGACAAGGTGTTCAATTTAAAAGTAGCAGTTTGCGAAGACGAGAAAGAGTTTCTGACCTGCATTATAAGTACTACCGAACGTATGTTCCACGATGAAACTGGTTGTACAGTTAAGCTGATGTTTCAGCCCATAAATGGGACTGTCGTAACGAAAGAGAGTATTCTGAGAATCATGAGAGAAAATACAAATAACAAATTGGAGTGCGAGGTAGTCGAACTGCAGGTTCCATCCATCGTCGAGCGTTTCAAGACCATCTGTTGTACTCACAATCTGACACCCTGCGAAATCGTGCTGAAGTGTCTGAGATCTTGCGAAAATACATCGATATTTCGTGCAAAACCTGACGATATCAATAAACAAGTATTTGTGCCGTTGTTAAAGACCTTAGAATACGAAAAGAGTATTAAACTGTTACAATTGTCAGGTACTGTATTGCTGACAGCGGGAATGCACTTACATCAATGTCTCTCGAATATGTCGTTTCTACAGGAGCTCTATTTAAAAGGCTGTGATATTGACTTCGCCTGTTTACGCCAAGTAAACTCGTTGCCTCCTCAATTAAGAGTCCTAGATCTGAGTTACAATCCATTGAGTTCTGAGAGTTGTGATACCCTGCGGAAGCTAATTGCGCCCTTGAGATACTTACAAACTCTTAACTTACGTTATTGTATGCTGGAGAACTTTTATCTTTCACTTGACAATCCCAATCTAACAAGCTGCGATATTTCGTGGAATAAATTAAATCGCGATGCAGTGACTTCTTTCTTGAGTAGGCAACTGTTTGATTTGAGCTTGTCTAATATTCTGTCTTCCAACCGATTCATCTTAAGTCTGGATACGATAAGCGCAGCTCTGGCGCCGAGCTTAGAATCGCTGGATCTTTCATTCTGTGACGTATTAGACATCGACGTAAAGATCGTCTTAACGCAATTGCCTCGATTGTTAAAATTAGTACTTCGTGGAAATATTAATGTATCTGTGTTATCCATAAACACATTGTTAAATCGTCAGCCTACATTAACTTATATCGATGTCAGTGGTTGTAAAAATATCGTGAGTAATCCAGAGGCAGGATTATTTATACAAAATCCTGAAATTTGCACGCTACTAGCTAGCATAGAGCCGAATTTATGTGATTCATGGATTAAATTGTGGCGAGGTGCAGGTATCGTAACAAAATTGCCTCATAACTTGGCGATTTTTAAACCAGTATGACTTATAGAAAATATTTTGTATATATATATATAATTTTAATATAAAAAATAATTTATTTTTTACAAAATATCTTACAAATATATGTAGATATATCTTTATGTTTTATAATACAATACATATTCAGAAAAGCAATACTATTACAATTTGTAAATTATTGATATTATCTCTTATATTTTTAAAGTTTTGTAGAAAATCAATAAGTTCAATTAATTGAGAAAAGCAATCAAGTAATAGTTTTTTTCATAATGAACAGATACTGTACGATTCCCTAAATTTTATAGTCTAATTTGTAGATTTTGTCATTTCAGTTTGAAAGTATAACATTTATTTCCAATTTTGCACTGTATATCATTGACATGCACATGAGCATCTTCCATGTTTTCTGCCAAAAATTTGTTTAGACTGCTAGTAAGAAGTGGCAGAATTTCTTTTAAACAAGCTCGCTTGTCTTCAAGGCACCAGAAGAAACTTATATGATATGAAGTATCCTGTATATAAGAAAACATATCAAATTAATTTAAATTTTTTGGCCTTTGCTGCAGTCACATTAAGTTATGTATGTGTGATTCATACAAGATCTATTCTTTTTAACTGAAATTGCACGATTCACTTTTTCTTTCTATGTTGGAAAGAAAAAAAAGGAAGATGAAGAAATATAAAAATAACAGGCCTAAAATATCTTGTTTCTGATGTAATCATGCAACATGACTACAGCAAAAGAAGAGAATTAAATGCAAATTATAAAACCTGTTATTTTTTTTTCATATTATATGTAAATGCATTTTACAAAAATGCAAAAGGAAGCATTATTTTTATGTACCTTGTAAAATGATGGTAATTGATATTCAGCTAATAAATTATCAAAAACTTCTGTTAGGTATTTCAACATTTTATCCTCATCTTGACAATAAATTCCGAGGAATGTACGAGTTCTCTCCTCATTGCAGTACACTCTTACATCTGTGAGTTGTACGATAAATTTATTGAAACTTTGACATGCCAGCTTTATGCCTTCTACAAACGATTCAATCCAATGGAATTTTAAAACTAAAGTACGGCTGAGACTAATGTGAAGACTGGACATGATGTTGCCTTGAACAGGCAGTTTGTTCAACACAGACTTCATCCAAGTATGTAGACAATCGCTAGGTGTATCTGAAATCAATTTAAATTTTTTCTTATTTCTTAAATTTTCCTCAATCATTTTAATATTGATTATTTAATATTAATATTAAAGTTAATTAAAAATTAATGTTATCTTTTTTTATCTATGTTATTTATTATGGAATTTTAATTAATGTTTATATTATTGATATCATTTGAAATACTTACAGTTTATGTAAATGAGAGTTGCCCAATTACCACGCTCATGTTTAAAGCTTCGTATTCGTCCAGCATGATCTAGTGGATCATCGATCACTTCTTCATTATATGTAACTCCTTTCCATGATAAAATACTTGCAGGTAAAGCTAACCTATAAATTTATTCAATATTATTTTTTATTCTTGCATCATATATCAATATATTTAGAGAAAAATTATATTGAGCAAATAACATTATATCTTAGATAATTAGTTTTAAATTATTCACTAACGATTATATCAAGCATAATATCATATATTTATAAACAAAGTGCTTTCATAACCTCAAACTTATAAATTATGAAATTTTAATAATTATTTCAAGTACTGTTTTGTTTTAATCAGAAAGAGGAGAGAGTTTTTAGAAAGAAATACTGTAATGTAAAATGAGTAACATAAGTTATGTACTTGTTTACAATTTTACAATCATCTTTCTTCTCATCGTGCTCGTCTTCGTCCGAATCGGAAGAGTAAGTTTGTATTAAATGCAAACCAGTCATGTTTTTTAATGACTTTTATATTCAACATTAAGTGCTTATTATTACCTCTATTTTATGAAATGTAACAGAAATACAACACCGAAAAACGAATACAAGGTTATGTTTAGACAACATGCGCACAAGCACAAGTTTAACAGCCAAGGATTGTACTTTTATAGATGCGTTACTTGTGCATCAAAAGTCTAGTCATCCTAAAGAGTCTGGCCAATTTATTATTAATTCTATTGGTGCTGACAAAATATGGCGGAACCAATAAGATACCTCAAATATGTTCTTTACACGCGCTATTATTCAATTGACGGGAATGAAATAATAAAAGAATAAACTTATTTTTATTAGTATAGAAAACTCCTCATTGAAAATCCTTTTTCGGTATTATTAAAGCAATAAGGCACGCAGCAGCCGGGCATTTTCTATAAAATTTGTTAGTTACAATGCACATTTTGAATACATACAATTTTAAAGGTTAGAAATCGATTTTTATGTCAGCATGTATAATTTGTTTTCTATTATATGTATATATAATAGAAAACAAATAAAATAAATATTTTTTTAATACATAATTTGATAAAAGATCACAGACTGTGTAAAAAGTAAGTGAAATATATATATATATATTTCACTTACTTTACACAGTCTGTGATCTTTTATCAAATTATGTATTAAAAAATTATTTATTTTATTTATTTATAATGATTATATACTGTTTACGATATATTTATAGTATCACATCAGTTGACCACACCTTTATTAGAGTCCCTATACTAAGAGTCTGGCCAAGGTTGTCATCCAGCCTATTGGTTTCGACAAAATATGGCTGAAGCCATCTTTAGCTTCGTAATGATTGACTGATGCTATTAAGACCAAATATGGCAAAACTACCAATCACGTTTAAATTTTTAAATGATAGAGAAGTATTTATTACGGATAGAAGTGTATTTTCTAAAGTAATTAAAATATTCTAATTTACAAAACTGATTCAGATATCAATAATAGCAAAATACGTATTCAAAATAGAACAAATATAGTAATTTTATATTATTCAGAAAATATTATAATGTCTTAAAGTCATGTAATAATAAGAGAAATCTTAAAATTTTAGAGATGTTTTTATGAAATTATTAGAAGATAGATAAGTCGTCTTTTAGATATTTTCTCTATCACTTTCCTCAAGGAACACATCACGTCACGAAAAAGTCAAAATGATTTTTGGTTACAAAAATTGACCATTTATTGACTCGAAGCATCAAAATAAAATCATTTCGACATCATTTTGATTTTTTGTTAACTTTTGTGTTCCTTGGATAATTTTTCAAATAAAATTGTTCTATGGATATTTGTTTTAGAAACGTTTCTCGGGATCCCCTTTTCTATATACGTGTACATAATTTTAATTGATAATACAGTTTATGCAATAATATACATATATACACATTTAGATATACAAAATAAAAAATGTATGTATACAGCGTATAACATCTCATAATTCGCGGATTATCTCTGGAGCGGGGAGGTAGACATGTAGAGCGCATTAATTAAATAGAAAAATCCTCTACCGTTCTGTATTTGCAATAATTAATAAGATAATAATTAGTAAACGCGTTAGTTGTCCTTTCGCACGGACGCACGTTTATTCGCATATCTTTATTAATTATTACAGTATCACAGCGTTACGCAGAAGCGACGTATTGATAAATATATTATTTTGTGCATATATGCTGTTCATATAAACGTACTTCCAAATATCTCACCTAGCAACGGTGAACGCGTGTGCAATATATCATTCCATAGCAATTTCTACAGCAGAGTGATATCACGTTAAGAAATATAGTGTTTTGCTAAACGCGTCAAAATTTTGTATCTCTTGTGCAGATATCATCGAATTGTGCGCCGGGCTATCATCGACTTTCGGCGATGTCCTTTCGAGCATCGTCAAAGATTCTTTATTTCCAAAAGCGTATTCTTTTCAATACCCTCTCGGTAGTCGAATCGCAGTGCTCTTTTACGTAACGCTCATCCTTTTCAGTTGCCGCGCTCTCTTTTTCTCTTTCTCTTCATATCTCTCCCCCCCCCCTCCTCTCTCCTCATCTCTCTTTCTTCCTCTCTCTCTCTTTCTCTCTATCTCTTTGCGGGCATCGAGAAACAGTCGTTTCGCCATTTCTGCAACTTCGACTCTGCCCGCCCGAGGATTTTCAATATCCTCGCAATACGCGGCTCTCTTTGAAATTCAGATATTGCGAGCAAAGAGAGCCCTTTCGGCGGTAGCTGCACCTCAAATTTGCACAGGGCAAACCAAGCCTGCGAGCAGTCAACGAAATCATTGCATCCCGCGATATCCTCGCAACACAGTACTGTCAATCATGTGTACAAGTACGACCAACGTGATTGCTCTATACCTATAGGAAAGATTCTATTTAATCACGTGGACTTTAATGAGATCAGCTTTGTGCGAATTAATTTTAATTAAGTTTGATCTTGGCGATGAATTTGATTTTTGACGATTCCGATGATGTAAGAATTAAAGAAAGAAAGCATCAAATTTGATGAGAATTTCTTCCTTAATGATTAATATTACATCAAATCATTATTCATATACTGGAAAAAATGTTCTAATTAAATCAACGAAAGCTTAAGAAGGAAATTTTGCAAAAATGGCATTTTGATAAAAAAAAAAAAAATGTATCGAACTAAGTTTCTGAAAGTTTATTTTATAATAAAAAATTCTGTTTGTCTCCTCTATCAAATGCTACTCTTTAGGCCTTTTTATCGGTTTAATCAAATCAAGGAAATATCTGAGCACTAAGATTCTGCTTTGAATATTTCAAAATTTCATATTTAATTGAATTTATTTTTATTGGTTTAAATTCACATCATATTATTAATTAAAACATTTTTTTTGTACAGCGGAATTTTGTAGATACCCTCTTTGTTCTTTGCATGAAGTGCAACGGTAGCAACTTCAAATTTGTACATATCTTTATAATTCTTAGAATATTAAAAAATATAAAATTGAAATATAAAACTGGAATTGATCTTAAAAGACTTTTCGAATATACAAGCGATGAGTTCATAATAGAACTATTAACTCTCTCGAGCTATTTACTCGTGAGACTTTAGTACTAAGCTAACTGTGAGAAAGAACTAAAACACGATACGCGTGCGTTTTATATTTAGTAAATGCATTCCTGTATCACGCAAAATGCAACTTTCTGAAAAATGCTGAAGAATACATTCTCGATGTAATTAAGAAAGTACCAAAATTTGCGTCCTTTTTTATCATTATAATGCATAGTTTTTTTTACTTTACATTATAAATAAACAATTTTAATCATTTTTGACAGAGTACATAAAAAAACAATTATACTTGCATAGTTAAAACAATTATGAATATATAGTTGTCCTAAAAATGACTCTAAATTATGGTAATTAAATTACGGTAATTTTGTAATCGTTTTTTTCTCTCAGTGCAATTATTTCGATGGTCCAATAAAATCAGTTTCAGATTTGTAGACCGAGATTAATTGGATCACAGAACGAATCGAATCAATACAGATTTTAAGGCAATTAATTGATATTTGTTGTTAATTTTATTGTTTTTTATTTCACACAACTATATAATTGTCTCAAAATTTACGTTGATCCAATTTGCCCCGTGATCTGATTTGCCTCGATCTGTCTATAACTAAATTTTTAGAAACAGCAAAATCGTTCTTTCAGTACAGGATTCTAAAGCCTCATGAACGGGATTTCTCCGGTCTCGTTTTAAGAAAGATCGAAGTCCGATACTAATTTCTCAGTATTTCTCACCAAGCCCCGGCTGACGAGGGTCATCGTCGAAGACGTTCTCCGAGCACAATCAATACCTGATATATCGCCGGCGTGGCAAAAAGGCGTGGAGGACACGAGGTACTTGCCGAGAATGAAATCCCATCATCGACAACCCGCGACGTCTGTAGCGGCGGATCGACAGTAATTGGCGGCTGCCGGAGTCCGTCGTCGATTGCGAACTTTGAACTTTCGAAAAATAGTGCGCGACAATCGATAGCACGACAAGAGGCAGGACACCTGGACGGGACGCGACGAATGGGATTCGAGGCGTTTAATTGCGACATTTCGCGGCGTCGACCTCGATGGATCTATCACCGCGTCGAGAGGA